GGGCATCTCTGCCTCTTCCTGCTTCTTCAGGGTTGGAGACAACTGCTACCATCGCCAGTGACCCCAACGCACCCACAGGGTGTACACTGGCCAATAAATGGGTGATGGCTGGAAGAGCTGGGAGTAGGAAGCTCTAGTAGCCACAGGCCATGGCAGGGTTCTCCAGGTCAGTGCTGGGAACTACAGTCTGGGTAGAGACCCTCCCACCACCCAGTATAAGGCGCAGCTACTGGGCCAGCCTGCAGGACAGCTGGGAGGTGATCAGCCATGCTAGGAATGGAGAAAAACAGGAAAGAGTGCTGCATTTCCCTGTGGGGAGACTTTTAAATGGGTGTTCCCCTGTGACCACCAGGACCTGGCTGATGCCTTAGGTCCCAAGACAATAAACCTGTTAGACAGCTAAGAGTGAGACCAAGTGTACCCAGAGGGGGCAGGACTGCACTGGAGAGGAGGGGCTGCATGTGAGCGGGTGGGGCTCTGTGAGGGGATGGGCGGACCACAGAAGAGGGCAGGGCCAGCCAGCTCAGCTTACCCACCCAGGGTGTTTCCTCCCATTCAGAAGTGCCCAGCCCCCAGCAGTCATACCCTGAAGTCAAGCCAGACCCTGGCCACTGGCCAGGTTTACAAAGGCTCTGAGAACCAGCAGGAACAGCACTAGTGGCCAGGGGCCCTGAGCAGTCGAGGTGAGCAGGGCATCCCAGCAAGGCAGGTCTGGCACTCATCCCAGGACAGCAGCCAGCATGCCTCCTGCCCAGCTCAGAGAGGCCACGGGAGGACATAGGCCAAGTACTCCTCCCCTCAAAATGATATATAGGGAGCGGGTTGCCAAGGGCTCCCCAGCCTGTCCTCCTGGGCTTTTATGCCAGCGGCTCCCTCCGCTTCCCACCCTCAAAAAGTTTTCTTGAAACAATTGAGCAATCCAACTGAGCAACTGAAAACAATTGTTTCTTGAAACAATTATAAGCCATTCACTGTGTGGCCAGATCTACTGTATGCATGACCAGCTTGAGCTCAGCGCTGAGTGGGATGCAGGACGTGGCCATTCCCAAAGGAACTCAGTTAACTGGGGAAAATCACAAAAATAAAACACTTGGATGGTTAAAGGGTCAAAGCATCATCTCTCATCAATAAATGATGGAAGCAGGCTGGGAGGAGCAGAGGTGGAGGACCCAGGAGAGGACTCAAGCAGGTGTGCTGGGAGCAGGCGGTGGGAATTGGCTTCATCCAGGCCTTGTGGCCCTTCATGTTAGTGCTAAGGAGGAAGGAACACAGAAACACTCCACCTCATGAACAGAAAAACTGAGGCTCAGAGAGGCTCCAGAGCTCACCACGGTCATATGACCTTAAGAAATGGAGCTGGATTCAAGTCTAAATCCAACTCCCAGGTACTGGGAGGACCTTCTGCAAATCGTGGCTAGGGGCCCTGAGCAGTCGAGGTGAGCAGGGCATCACAGCGAGGCAGGTCTGGCACTCACCCCAGGACAACAGCCAGCATGCCTCCTGCCCTGCCCACTGACCAGATGCCGCCATCATTCCCAACTATCCCAGACTTTGGCTCTGACCCGTTAAGACAGAGACAGGTAAAGGGATATAACACTCTCATCCCTCAACCTGCTCAGAAAGCCTGACCTCCAGAGCCAACAGAGGAGCTTCACAAAGACGACCTGGCCAGTGCAATGAGTCCTGCCTGCTTGAGGAACAGGTATCTGGGCATGCTCCCAACCCTGGGGTCATCCACACTGCAGATGGGCACCGTAGGCCCCAGGTGACTGCTGGTACTGCTGCTCAGCTCTGTTGTCAAATATCCTACACTTAGCACCCAGAGTGTCCTCACTTACAGCCTGGAGCTGAGTCCCTCTGGCCATGGAGCCCAGGCACTGAAGCAGGACCAGAAGACCCTCAGGTTACCTCTAGGCCCAACCCCTGGCACTTCCATTCAGCTGACTCTCGGGCCTGTGAACCCAGGGTGCACTGAGGCACTGGAGGCAGCAGGGCGGCCCCCATGGAAAGGACAGACAGGACCCACCTCCAGCTCCCAAGGCACCAAGATGGGCCCGCAGCAGACCTTGCATGCTGGGAGCACACAACAAACAAGCAGACCCATTCACTTGCAAAGAGAGAGCTTTCAAATCCCCTGAGTCAGAGGTGAGGCTCCAGAGCCACACATGCAGTGCAGGAGCAAAACCTATTTCCTGGACGCTACAGGCCCACCTAGAGTCCAGTGCAGAGTGTATGGATGGCAGAGACCAGGGCATGTGATCAGGGCACTCTTGAAGAGAGAGGCTTGGCTGTGGAGCGCAGTCAGAGGTGGAGGGGAGGGACCCAGAAATCAGACAGCCAGCGCAGCAGTTGGGATAACTCAGAGGAGACAGCAGTCTCAGACCTGGGCAGCTCCAGACCATGCAGGAAGAAATATGTTGGGTGCAAGAACCCTCTGCCTCAGGACACGCTGTGCAGCATCCTGCAATTATCTCTGTCCTATGATGGCTCCCAGTAAGCCTGGCCCTGAGGAGAACTGAGCCTCAAATATCCATATGATGAAAGGGGTAACATACCGTTACAGGTCACCACACCATAACCCTTGACAACATGAGGCTCAGCATGAGACACCTGGCACAGAAGGCCATACAGTGTAGGAGTCCAGCAATACAAAATGCCCAGGACAAGGAATCTACAGAGACAGAAAGCAGACTAGCGATTGCTGGGGATTGAGAGAACAAGAATGACTGCTGCTGAGAAAATGCCCTAAAATGAACTGGGTGACTACTGCACAAGTGTGAATATACTCAAAATCACTGACTCGTACCCTTGAAATGGTGAACTGTTTGCTATGTGAATTATATATCAATAAAGCCTCATCCCAACTCCCCCCAAAAAATCCATAGCGCCTTGAGAAGACAGGGAGTCCAGGCTCCTGGACCCCCAGTATGTGGCTGAACCCCAGGTGAACCAGCCTCGGTATTCCACTCCCAGGCCCTTGTTGAAGGTTGTAAGATGTACTCGCACACCTGGCACAGGTGCTCAGGGGTCACACACACTTGCATTGCCCACACCTGCTCTGAGGAAGCTACTGCTCTCCTAGGCAGCAGGGGTGCCAATCCCCTGCTCACAATCTTCAGAGAGCAAAACAGCAAAACGCAACAAGGGTTGGAGAAAAATGAAAAACAGACATACTGTATACTGACAGTGATATAGTTTAGATGCTGTCCCCTCCAAATCTCATGTTGAAATGTGATCCCCAATGTTGGAGGTGGAACCTAGTGGGAGGTGCCTGGGCCATGGGGGTTTGGTGCCATTTTTGTGGTATTGAATTAGTTCTCCACTCTGTTAGTTCACACAATAGCTGGTTGTTTAAAACAGACTGGTACCACCTCCCTCTCTTGCTCCCACTGTCGTTATGTGACATGCCTGCTTCCTCTGTACCTTACACCATGATTGCAAGCTTCCTGAAACCTCACCAGAAGCCAAGCAGATATAGGCCCCACGCAGAACCATGAGCCAAATAAACCTCTTCTCTTTAGAAATTTCGGTTACTCCTTTATAGCACTGCAAAATGGATTAGAACAGACATATATGTATTTCTCCTCCTCAACTCCATAACATCACTGCTAGGAATTGATTCACAGAAATAGCTCAAGCAAGGCTCATTGCAGCAGCATCGGTAACAGCCTCAGGCTGGAAAGCTCTCAGAGGCAGGGATGAGTGCTGGACAGGATCAAAAGAAAGATTGGGACACTGGAAAATGTCCCTGAAGTGGGCAGGGCACACTAAAGAAAGGTATGAAACCTGTCATTGCAACTTTGCAAAAAACATGCATATGAGTAAGAAGTTGTAGATAGCAAAAAGGACTGTAGGGACCTCCTGTCTCCCACTGTCATGTATGTTTCCACATGGTGGACATTGGGTTATTATTCTCATCTGCCACTGCTCAGTTCTGTTCTCTCCTTCGGGGCCAACCATGGCTATACCAGGTGATATCACACAGGGGAGCTTTCTGTTATGTCCTCGGGGAATGGGCAGACCTGTTCAGTCAGTGTGTTGTAGGGAGGGGTGGACCTGCTCAGTCCTCAGGGAACAGGCAGACCTGCTCTGCTTTCCTACAGTAAAGGAGGGAGCAAGGCATGTGCTCCAGCAGGACCTGGCCTCCCAGTCCCAGGGACAGGCCTGAGGCCCTCGTAGGCACCCACATCCCAGTACTACAGGGAATGGCATACACACACACTTACACAGCAGGTGTGTGCGGGGCTTGCCAAGGCTTGACAACCTGACTACCAGCAGGAAGGGTGCGGCCTGGAGGCCAGGGCTCAACCCAGAGCCGCACCCTGCCTGCCCTAGGGTGTTTCCCAGAAGCTTCCCCCCTTGGATGACCGCTGGAGAAATCTTCCTGGTGTTTTCTTTACAAACAACTGGGTGTCCTGTTTTGGTTTTCTGCCTCAACTGTGTTACTACAACCCCAAGGAACAGGCAAGGAACTTCTGGGTCTTCCCTGTAGCTTGAACTGCCAGGGCTCTGGTGTACATGTGTTGGGCCTGGCCTGTTTTGGGTCATGCTGTCCTGAATCCAAGCTGGCTGAGCACATACTGCCCACACCATTAGCATGACAGTGACAGAAACACCACCAAAGCTGGCCCCCGCTCAGGAGTCTCCAAAGCCACCTGCCAAAGCAGCTGGCACTGAGATGCCCTTGACCAGCCAGTCCTGGGGCAATCGCAAGTCCATTAGGGTGAACTTAATTTGGGTTTCTGCTCCTTTGGCACAGAACCTTCCAGCAACTGGAAAGGTTGAGAGGAGAGTGGGGGATGTTGGGCTACTGCTGCTCCCGAGATTCACCAGGGGTGCAGAGCTCACCTCTGCCCTGTCACACCTGGGGAACTGCATCTACTCCCTGTGGCCAAGAGGAGCAAGCACCGCAGGGAGACGAGGAGACATTTGCCAAGAAAGGGTGTGGGTGTTACCAATGGAAATAACCACAGCGGGCGCCACAAGGCCAGGGTCCTAACCTGCAGTTCCTTATCTGAGTACTTCTGGGGGTTCTTGCTCCCTTGGCTCTTCTTGCGAAGTTTCTTCAACTCAGCCTGGCACTTGTCCAGGGCATCTCCTTTGCTCCTTTGCTCTGTCTGATATTTCTTCAGCGCAGCCTGAATTCAAAAAACAAAAACACAAAACATGAGCCCACTGATGCCAAACCCACTCAGCAGACTGCCGCTCCCTCCTGGCTCTCTTTTCGGGCACCCCCTCCACCCCGGCCCTGTGGGACAGCAGCACATGCTTAAATGCAAATCAGCTTGGGGAGAGCCAGACCCCACTCACAGCAACTCTGCTCCCCAAGGATGAAAATCAGACCTGGGAAAAGTAGCTGAGCCTCACCCTCCTCCCACCTGCCACCAGGAGCCAGAAACAACTCTCATAAATGGATGTAGTAAACTCTTACAGAGCCTCATCCCTGCTTTCCTGCAAGCTGGTGGGAGAAGCATGAGACAAGGCTGGGGCAGAGAACACAATGAAACTGCAGATGTTAGAGAAGCAGGTCCTGTGCTCCCAGGGGGCAGAAGAGTCAGGATGTGACCTCCACAAGTGACCGACCCAGGGATGGGGGCCCGGAACCAGATAATGTGGAACATGAGGGGTGATGGGTTCAACACATTTGGAGCATGGGGAATGGCAAGGTGGGCACTTGGTCTCAAGTGAACAATAATGGCAGGACAGAGAGACCCATGTGGATGGGAAGCTCAGGGCAAGTTGAAAAACCTTCAAACTGAGGGAAGGTTTTAAAAGCAGAGTCCAGGGAGCCAGCAGGTGTGGGCAGAGCGTACTTACACTCAGGTACCTGGAGTCCAGCTCCACCTTCTGCTCCAGTTGCGTGAGCAGCTCATTGTGAAAAGACTTCAGCTGGACACAGGGAGAAAATACAGTCAGCTCCAACATGGAGCAGAAACAGGAAACAAGCACGGCAGGGGGTAGCCAGCCGGCCAGTGGGGCGTGCAGTCACCATGCACCCTTGACACTGGCTACCCGGAAATGAAGGAGGCTTCTTCCTAATCCAGGAGCTGATAGCCCAGGTGGGCTTTGTGGAATCAGAGGGTTGTAGGAACTAGTGTTGAACAGGGGTCCGGAACGTCAGACAATCCCAAACTCAATAGCTACAATGACTCCATTTCTCACAAAGGAAAAGAGACAGCCGGCCTGGTTCCTCCTCTGCCTTCATGCTGGGACCATTCAGACCCAGTGGCAGGAGCCATGGGCCTGAACAGGAATTGGGAGAGACTTCAGCGACCCCTGGTTTTAGACTGGACACTGCAAACCTGTGGCTAGCACATGTGCTCTGGTTTGGGGACACTGTGTTATGTTTGGGATGCCTATGCTTTCAGTAGGGAGATGCCATAGGAAATCTGACCTTCTGGCTGTGTCAGTCACAAGACTGGGGCCCGCCTGGGGCTGCAGTCAGGACTCTCCTGGAGTCCACCATGTTCCTGTCAGCCCCCACAGCCAGCAAAGCATGATACCCTGGTCTGGTCCATGCCCTTTTCTCCCGGGTCCTCCTGTGTATCTAAACCCATAATGCGTCAGCTCCCTAGACTTCTCAGAGTGCAACTTGCGTCTAAAGCCCAGGGTCCCTCCCTGCCTTTGAGTGTGGCCCCATGACATGGACTGTTCCCAAGTGGACACACAGTAGAAGTGCAGCCAGCTCTTCCACTAACACTGGTCACTCCCATCCCCTGCACCACCCCTCCTTCCAGGGCTGCACCAGGAAGCTGGACTCACCATCTCCTCCAACTGGTTCTGGATCTGCCTGTGGACTTCAGCCATCTGGAAGAGAACATCTCCTGGGAAGGCAGGGAAAAAAAAGGGGAGGGAGTTAGACACTCCAAGTACCACCAGTCACCCCACTCTGGGGCTGAGTGCTAGACACCAGCAGGACACACACTGCAGGCTGCCGTGGTCTTGGGGCTACAGGAGGTTTGTGCCCAGCAAGGTTCTATTCACTGTGAAGCCCTGTGACTGCAGGCCGAGAGGCCTTGGGAGTGCTAAGACGGTGGAGAGGGGTGAAGAAGGGGACATTAAAGGAAACAATTCTAGAAAGACAAGAGACTCCAGAACTCAAATGCACAGGGTGGTTGGCCTCTTTAAGAGTGATCTCAAGTATCTGCATGGAAGAGGACGCTCACAGCCAAGGCAGGAGACAGGAAGCACCTGCTTGTGCACACGTCGTCCTAGGTGCGAGCATATGACACATACTTATGGTCACCAACAACACTGACCCATCCCTGTCAGGCCCAGGCCGAGGGCCCATCAAACCCCACACCAGAGTGCACAAACTTCCTCCAGGGATGCCACTTGGGGGCACACACTGGACACAGGCCATGAACCTCCCTGACGCCTCCCCCACCCCCAGCTGCAGACCTCATGATGACTCCCAAACCCACATCTGACATCTTGGCTCCCGACCTCAGAGGAGTGCAGGGGTCTATTCCCAGGCCAGCTTGCCAGGCACACACATCAGCGCCCGCAGGCCTGGACTGGTCTCGCCCTTGCCGAGGGCTCTGGGGACATACAAAGCAAGCAGCAGAGTCCTGGCTTCCTGCGCATTTTCCTAGAGCAGCAACACTTCAAGGACGCTGACATCTCCTTGGCCCATTTGCAAAATGCAGATTAAGAAATTGAAATTGTGGCAGCACAGAGGTGATCTGCTGTTGGAGGCTATTCCAGCCTGGATATCAACTAGACCTGGCTCACATCTACTTGCAAGTGGGGCCCATACAAGGCCGACAGGGCTGCCTGCTTGTCCATCTACCACCCTTCCCCCACCTGCAGGCATGAGGCACCCGCCCCAGGGCAAATGGCTCCATTTCATTGTCTGCAGAATAGGGGACGGAACTGGGTGGTCCGGGCCACACTCGTTTGATCGGCAAATATTTGCTGAGCACAATTTTTGGTGCCAGGCACTGACCACGTGCTGTGAACACAAACAGAGTGGAGAGCCGTCCCTGCCTTCAGCGCAGGTCACTTTCAGGCAATCCCTGTCCCCAGGTGCTGCCTAAAGCAGGAATTTCCTCCCGATTCATGTCTGGGCCACCCAGGTCCCATGGTCCAAAGGGACCTTTCACTAGAGCAGGCAGGGTCCCCACAAGGCACCCCCGATGCCCAATGAGGTCAGCCAGAAACCAGTACAAGTCTCCTCATGACTGCAGGCAACCATGACTGGGTGATACTGCCCCCACGCCACAGCCAGCCTCAGGGCCACTTCCCTTCCGGGAAGCACAGCAGAGTCCTTGGGACCACTCCATGAGCTGCAGGGCTATCTTAACCCTGTGGCCACAGGGGCCTCTTTAGCACGACCCAAGACCAGATACTTTACGAATACATCTCCCTTAACCAGCACGATCTCGGAGGCTGGCCCGAATGAGCAGGAGAGAACCACCCAGTCACAGCTGGTGAGTGGCCCCAGAACCTGAACCCAGCCACCTGTGCTGGCTTCTGCCTTGCTGCCATGACGTCCTCGCAGGCTCAAAGCACACCTACAAGAGCCTCCCCTCAAGCCGTTCTAGGTGCCCATCATTTGTCTGAGCTCTTTGTTATTCTCACTCTACGTACTATTATCGCCCAATATGTTCTCGAAAGTCAAATGCTTTACGTGTTTCTGCCCCACCCCGCCCCCTTTTTCTTGATTCAGAGGATACAAGGGCAAGGTTGTTACATGGGTATATTGTGCAATGCAGAATTGGGGGCTTCTGTTGAACCCGTCATACAAATGGTGAACACAGGACCCAACAGGTGGTTTTTCAACCTTGCCACCCTTCACCCCGCTTTAGAGTCCCCAGAGAGTCTACTGTTCCCATCTTTATGTCCATGTGTACTCAGTGTTTACCTGCCACTTAGAAGTAAGACCTCGCAGTATTCAGTTTTCTGTTTCTGTGATAATTCACTTAGGATAATTGGCCTCCAGCTGTATCCATGTTGCTGTAAAGGACATGCTTTCATACTTCCTTATGTCTGTGTAGTAGTCCACAATGTGTATGTATAACATTTCCTATATCCAGTCCACCATCAATAGGCACCTAGGATGGTTCCATGTCTGTGCTATTATGAATAGTGCAGTGATAAATATAAGTGTGCAAAGTATCTTTTTGGTAGAACAATTTATGCTTTTTTGGGTTTATACCCAGTATAATGGAATTGCTGGACTGAGTGAAAATTCTATTTTGGGTTCTTTGAGAAATCTCAAAATTGCTCTTCACAGGGGCTAAGCTTGCTTACATTCCCATCAACAGTGTACGAGTGTACCTTTTTCTCCACAACTTCACCAACATCCGTTGTTTTTTGACTTAATAGCCATTCTGACTGGTGTGAGATGGGATCTCATTGTGGTTTTGATTTGCACTTCTCTGATGATTAGTGATGTTCAGAATTTTTTCATGTTTGCTGGTGCTTGTATGTCCTTTTTAAGAAATATCTGTTCATGTCTCTTACCCACTTTTAAAAAAATTTTTTTAATTTTAAATATGTGGGGTACAATTCAGAGTTAGGTATACAAATGTTCATTATGCAGGTACCCCTGTTGATGAGGTGTGCCCCCCTTGCCCATTTTTTAATGAATGGGGTTGGAGCTGGGCTCGGTGGCTCAGCCTGTAATCCTGCGCCTTGGGAGGCTGAGGTGAGTGGATTGCCTGAGCCCACGGGTTCGAGACCCACCTGGGCAGGTGAGACCTCATCTCTACAATAAATAAAAAAATTAGCCCGGTGTGGTAGCGCGCGCCTGTAGTTCCAGCTACTTGGAAGGCTGAGGCGGAAGGATGGCCGGAGCCCAGCAGGTCGAGGCTGCGGTGGCCAGGAGCGGCCACTGCACTCCAGTCTAGGCGACAGAGTGAGACTCCAACTCAAAAAAAAAAAAATGAATGGGGTTGGTTTTCTTTCTTGTTTATTTAAGTTCCTTACAGATCCTGAATACAAGCCGTTTGTTAGATGCCTAGTTTGCAAGTATTTTCTCCCATTCTATAGATCGTCTATAGACTCTGTTGATAGTTTCTTTTTGCTGCAGATACAGATTTCTATCAGGGGAGGAGAAAAAATGATTCAAGCACCCCCAAAGAGCACAGAGGTGAGACAGTCCTGGAACACTCAACACATGTCCCACTAAACTTTGTGTGAGGTCCGACTGTCCCCTGCCTCTCCAGGGAAAGTGGGAAGGGCGAACACAGCTGGGTCCACAATGAGACAGAGATGGGGGGAGCACAAGCAGCCACAGGCTCGGCTTCCATGTACCTGCCCCAGGATCCAACAGGTGCAGAGACCTACCCTTCCCCTGTGAGGAAGCAACAGAGAGCCCTGGGGGTGCAGGGCCATGAGAAGAAACAGAAGGCCTGCCCAGCACCAAGCTGCTTGCCCTCCCTTAGGAGAGGGCAAAGATGGATACACCCACCAACCCCTGTGTGTGAGGATGTGAACACATGTGTGCATGTGTAAGCATGCATAATCTGTGCACAGATGCGTGCTAGTGTGAGTGAGCACATGCATATGGTTGTGTGCATCTGAGTCACCATCACAGCTACCCTGGCTGCCACCATCCCCACTCTGACCATGAATGCAGGGCTTCACAGGGGCCACAGCAGGGCCAGGACACGTCAGGTCAGTCTCCAGGATCACACTGACCCTGGATCCAGGAAATAGCAGGAGGGGGAGAGGAAGGGCCAGGGAGCCCATACACAAGCCACTAATTGAGTCTGAGAAAATTTTATGAAGCACACAACATACCCAGCACCTCAAAGATGCCAGTCTAGACCCATAGCACAGGTACCTGCCCCCCCAGAGATCACTTCTACCTGCTCAAGCCACCACATGACCACAGGCCTGAACACTGCTGTGTGGTCTGGTGGGGTAGGGCATAGCGATGGCCCCCTAGAAGCTGCACTCACAGGAAGGAGAAAGTTGCCACCACTGCAGTGGCCCCTCATGGTCAGGGTGAAGCTGGGACCACATGTGGTCAGTGGAAAACCAAATGCTGACAGGAAGGGGAATGAGTCTATGGTTCACCAGCCTCGGCAGGCGAGAATGCAAGTCTCAGCCCGCACCACTCAACCCAGGGTTCAGGTGCTCAAGGAAGGGCCAAGGACTACTTGGAGGGAAGGCAGAATTTGGCATGAGGCATCCCCATGTCCCCACCCTTGGCTATAGGAAAGCCAGTGGGACAAACACAAATGGGTGCCACCCAGTACAGCAGAGAAGACGGACATGAAACTGGTGGCACAGACCCCACGGATGAGGGAACTCTCAGCTCAGGGCAGCATGTGCACATGGCCATGTGGCCGTTCTACTCTGTGATCTGCATGGCCAGGATGCCACCAGCCTGGCAGGGCATCATCCTACATGTCAAGAACGCATACACAGGAGGCTTGAAGCCTGGAGCAGACTTCCTACACTCAGAAACCACTAGAAGCCACAAACACAAGCCATCGGCAGGGCCATGCGAGAGGTAGCTCTGGGGTTTACTTTGCTTCTTTGGGCTTCTCAACATTCTATCAATTCCCCAGGGCAGCGCCACTGCCTCTGGGCTCAGGAAGCCACCCAGAGAATGGTTCTGGGATTTTGTTTCATTGTGTTTGTATGACTCAGGGGCGGTCTTAGTTCTCAGGCCCCTTAGATGTTGGGGATGGCTTCAATCAGGGTCAAGAGATGACATGTGACCACAACAAGCACAGGTCCTGGCCTACACAGGAGAAGTTGCCCAAACCCTGGGCTTTGCTGGGCCCACTGCCACCTGGGAGGGTCTATACACACCTTTGTCCCAATTGGGGACAGCAGGTCTGTAAAAAGGAGGTGAGGCCAAGTG